TGATAATAATGCTTCAATTGGTCCCTGCCAAGTAAAGGAAATAACATGTACAATTGTACCTTTAGGCAAAAACATTATTTTGCTTTTACACAAAAATTTGAATGTTGGAAAGGTAAAATTTAGGGGGGAAAGGAGGGAATTACCCTTCAATAAACACTTGAATTCTAGTTATATATCTTATACTAAGTACGAAAGATTTGAACTTAAATTTCCAAATATTTCCTTTTTATTCTGTAACTAATTGCTCGAGAACTAATTGCCTATCAGAGTAAGTTTTTTTTCTTCAAACGAAGAAATATTCTCAATTTAATAGAAGAATTTACTTACGAATGCATTATATATAGTCATGACACTTCCCTCCAAATGAATGGCACAACCAAACATCTCCACCAAAATCAAAGGTGTTAAGCATGCATGCCCTGGCTCAATTCTACAAAAGAAGACAAATGCTAAAATGACAACTAAAACGATACATAAAATTAATCAATTACAAGAATTCAGAGAGATAAACATACATTTAGTGGTTCAGTGATAACTATCTTCTAGATTTGTAAAGGTGGTTTGATGCACCCCATTGTGAATTTTTTTTTTTTTTTGAACAACAGCAGTTAGTACATATTCTAGATATATGGGGTTTGGGGAAAGGAGATTCCATGGGGCTCGAAGACATAACCCACGGGCGGTGATCTCACTAACCAGTGGTCTTAGTCACTAAGCTGGAGCATAGGAATTGAAGCACCTCAGTGTGAAATTAATTATGTATTCACAGCAGAAACCAACTGGCACATACGTCTGCAGAAACTGCAGTGCCTCCACTATAGTGGGGGTTGGAGTGAGCGCCTCCAAAAATTCGGCACATACCTCTGGCCCTGCCCGAGTTCTGTCTCATAAACCATATTCACAAAGCACCTCTTCAAATCCCCAACCCTACCATCAACAGCCTCTTCTGTTTTAGTTACGTGGGCAGGACTACCATCCCAAGCTCACCGTCCCCCACCCCATGAGTCTCAAATCCTGTGAATTGTGGGAAGAGATTTGGGATAGTTTTCTTTTGGCAGAGTTTGAATTAGAATTTGTGAAAGTAAAAATAGAATATAATGGGGAATAGAAGAAAAGGTCATCTCATTAATTGTAGTTGGTCTTCCTTTTTTTTTTTTTTTTCTTTTTTTTTCACATCATTAATTTTTTTAAAAAAGGCGGCGTCTTCGCTGGCAACTTAACGTGCCAGATGTCAATTTTGTGGATGGAAGGGCCAAATTGATCCTAAAAATTAAAGTTTGAGAATACTGACATTTTATAAAGTTAAGGATGATTTTGGTTTAAAAATGAAAGTTGAGGGACCAAATCAGATTTGTCTCTCTATCGTCAATCCTCTCTTTCCAATGATGTTGCCAATCCATCAAATTTCATCAAATTATTGCATTTTGTTATTCAATCAATAAACGAAAATAAAGCATAATAGGTACATAATAATTAAAGAAGGAATTAATAAAAACTAGCCAACAATCACATGGTTTGTATGGCATTTTAACAAACAGTTGATAGGCACAGAAGAGGCAGTTAGCAAGCAGAACCATCCGAATATGGAAAAATGTCCGTAGGCAGAGACGAAGCCAATGTAGGATAAGGGGGGGCAGCTGCGCCCCTAAGCTTTTGAAAAATTCAAATATGGTACATTAATTTTTATTTTTTTACAAAATTTTGTTTTTCGAGTTTTTGAATTATTAGAATCATTTCAAAAATAAAGAAAATTTTTAGGATTTAGATAAAAGAATCATTTCTCTCTTTGTGATTAATTTTTAAGATACAATAATTGGGTCTAAATAAGAAAAAAATATTAAAAAATTATCAAGATTTAGTTAATTACATTGATGTAATTTTTACAAACTTTTTCATTAGTTATATATCATTTTTTTTTGTATAATTTATATTCTATGAAAATAATGGTTGAATTTATTTTATTCAAATAAATCATACATTTCAAATTTAAAATTGTTTTGATATAGGTAACCATTTAAAAAAATAAATTATATTTTACTATTTATTTGAGAGTTTTAAAGTATATATCATTTAAAAATAACTAAATATATCTAATGAATTTAAAGTTTTACATGTATAATTTAAGTAATATATACGGAAAATTAATGATCAATATAGAAACTAATATAAATTATACTAAAATAAACTAATAAATAATTCACGAAATTTAATTTTTTAACCCCCTAACTTGAATTTTTGGCTCCGTCCCTAACCACAAGTTCATTTTCAGCCTAGGCTGCATTTTTTTAAGCAAGTGCAGACTCAAAAACTGCAATATCAAGCTGCTATAACTAAGGAAATCATCACAAAATTGTACAATTGTACAACGAACAAAATGAGAATAACCAGCTTCTTCAGGTCTGCTTATCTAAAGATCCAAGTATGAAGTATCATCTGCAAATTTGTAACACTCAGCAAAAGATTACTAGCTATAAAGCTCATTCATTTGATAGATACATTCAAAATTATTAACACAAACAAATGCATAACTCAGTTGATAATTCATAAGCAAACGACAATCTGTCTTATGAAAGCAGAAACACGTGAAGTTCATCTTTTTTACTTCACACCATAAAACACACACCAGCAAGCCTTGCAGAAATTGAACAGAGATAATACAAGTTCAAACGTGGATTTTAGGGAAAAAAAGGGATCAGTTTTTGGAAGGGAAGTGATTTTTTGAGCCAAAGTGTGTGGCAACTTGACAGCTTTAAAATCCAGCTTGTGAATGCACCATTCAACCTGCAAGACATCACAACATTGTTTAATAGAAGATATTACTTCATGAAGGATGGAAAAAAGGTAGAAATGATATGTAGAAGCACAAGACCCACTCACCATTTGACTTTAGTTTAGGACGTGAGAGAAAGTTTCTTGTATATACATCTTTAGAGACATAGATGTAATCCAGTTTGCATAAGTTCAGTCTTCATTAGAGCCATCAATCCTCTGTAATCGTAAAGGAATAACAAACTGAAGGTGAAAGCAAGAACCGTAGGCAGGAAAAATGTTTATGACTAAAAATAATATAATATAGTTTCCACAAATTTCTATTAATTTTTATGTACTTTAACAGGATAATCAAGGTGAAGTAAAGAAACATAAAAATTAAGAAACAAAAAACTAAAGGAATTCTTTGGAATCAATACACATACCTCTTTCAAATGTTGTAGAGTGGCGTTAGGTCCCCTTCCCAGGGCCCTTCATCATCTTCTTCTGTCAATTTTACTTTTTGTAGTTCTGGTGTGATTAATTCCCCCTTAGAGAAAAACTGCATGTCTGGACAATCCATCACAATTAAGTCATTTAAAATTGGAAACTCAAAGCTGCACTCCACTGAACAAAAGTTTGCTAGCTTTGGTAGACCCTTAAGTCGCAAATACTTGAGTTTGCTAAAGACAATGCAATCCTTCACCTCATCATCAATGCATGCCACAATTTCTCCTATCATACCACAATCACTTATACTCATTCTTGTGAGCTGCACCAAGCTTTTAGCTGTTGAATACCTCATTAAACTTACGAGTCCATGACATCTTGATACTTCTAGATCCTGCAGATTCCTCAAAGATATCATGGATGGCACTAAATTCATTAATTTGCTACATTCAAGCACTTCCAGAGCTCTCAAATTGTAGACAATGGTTTCAAAGTCAGGTTTAACCTTCCAGAGATGCATTAGCTCATTAAGATTAGATAACCTTAGTTCCCTTAACTGAGTGAGTGCTCCTTCACATTGAAATATTTCATGAAAGGAAGCATAGCTCACAACAAGTTTCTCAAGACTGCAAGGGAGTGACTGGAAGAAGAAAGGAGGAATAACTGATTGCTCAGAAAAGTGGATAAGTTCCAATTTTTTTAGTTTGGGAAAATAGTCCCCTGCATATTTTCCACGCCATATCTCCTTCAGATTGCCAATCTTTTCAAGTTTCAATTCTTCTAGGTTGGAGAATGTAGCCTGAAAATTCGAAATATAATGTTTTTTTTTCTTAGTACGAAAAACAAGAAGTGGGATTCAAAATGGTAACTAATGCAAATCCTCTGTTCATTATTTTATGCAAAATGGAGATTCAAGTTTTCCTTTAAAACATATTCTACTTAACAAGTTATAACATGAAAAGGAGAACAGTAAGTCATATAAGTTGAAAAAGTCGCATAGTTTTTTTTACTTCAAAAATGTAGAGAAATGAACATGAGTAAATAATTAGAATAATATGTAATTATATTATTAATTTGTGAATTAAAAGAAACCAAACAACTTTTTGTCTGAACGACAAAGAAAAACACTTACATCTACTCCTTCCTGCAAAACACTTATATTATAAAGGAGTAATACAACAATTTATTGGCTCAATCACCTTATAAACCAGAAACTTTATCACAAAAATAGACTAAATCAACCAGAAAGAAAGCAAGTTAACCAGTGCGATTTTCAATACCAAAAACCAAAAATTCCTTTCAAGGCCAAAAAAAAAGAAAACCCAAACAGCTTAAGGAAATGAAAATGTCAAGTTCTATTTTTCTTTTATAAAAATGGGAAGCTTGTCCATTGACAAGTAAAGTGCATCATGGACACATCACAACGCAGGCAAACCCTGAGATTCCATTAAAAAATTAAGAGATTCACATGACTAACAAATACAAGGATATCACCTTGAAGTAAATCTCAATGGCAGCATATATAGCAGTATTCTTTCTCAATTATTTGAAATTTTGAATAAATATTATAATTAAAATGAACAAATAATTTTTCTGATTAATTTTTTTTTCTATAAACTTCCATATATAAATTGGTTAGTTTGATTTTCTCAATCATTCAATCAGATATAATTAATTTTTTTGGACAAGAATTACCATGTGGCTAATACTTTTTGCTGGATTTGAATATGTTTAGACCTAAGGGTTTTCTCCCTATTATTATAAACTATTTAGAGTTCGTACCTCGTTGATCCAAAAAAGAGAATGTTGAACTAGAGTCTCAAGGTGCTCATCACCAGTTGTACTTTGGAAGCTTGGAAATTCTAAAGCAAATATCTCTATCTGCTGGAATCCAACCACCGTCAATTTCATCAGAGATGGGCATTCAGTAATATGTTTTGAATGGCAGAAACCCTTGAGCGTGGGTAGGATTTGAAGCCTCAGTTCTGTCAATTTTGGAAGTACCAACTTGGTTTCAGTTTCTACCAAAGTTGGCTGACTGGCTACCAGAGATTGAGAATAACTAGCAACAGGTCCTTGAGGTTCAAATATCACTTCTAGTGAATCACATTGTATAATCGACAGTTGTTCGAGTCTCTGAAGTCTTTCCAGCATACCAAATGGGAAAATGCCCTCCAGTGTTTCACAGCCAATTACATGAAGGCATTTTAATTTGCAAAATGATTCTGCATCAAGTTGGTTGTGCCATATCTTGTGCAAGCCCTCCATACTACTGATTCCTAGCGTCTCTAGCACAGGGACTGCCACCTAAAGAATTAATCGATTGCAATAATAACTTAGCAGGATGTAGAGACAAAAATTCAACTTTAGAATTCAAAATTCAATTAAAAATGGAAAGGCTTTATGAGGTGAAATTATAATAGCATTATTGTAAGACATGGAAGAACAGTAAGAAGAAATCACCTTTGCATCAAAGAGAGGTGGTGTAGAGGTGTTTTCTGCTTTCTCAATGCTGACTGCTATGTCTCCAATAACAGGGCTACAGGTGAACGCCATCAACAGAGGACATTGATTTATTACAATTCCTTTTAGGCAGGGGAATGTAATGTAATTTCCAGAACAGAACCTTTTGAGTTTGGGAAGGTCATCAAGCACCAAGGCTTGCAAATTAGGAAAAAATATCTTCTGCATCGTTTCTTCTTCTGCAAATCCTTCTTCTGTGACTATTACCCCTTCCATCATCTTACAATTACTTACAACGAGGCATTTAAGATGCTCTAAGCTTTGAACCATAGTGGATGTCAGTATATATTTTAAATTATTACAGCCCCTCACCTCTATTAAATTTCGAACAAAAGAAGACATTTCTGGAACCCGATTGTGCCAAATTTGCTGAATGTTAATATTTCCAAACAACCTTAAAATCTCCAGGTTGAGAACCTCAAGCTGAAAGAAAATTCATCAATTTAATGAACAGATCCTTCTTCTTTAGAAAAAAGGAAACAATTCGGTCACAACTACAAGGCAAAATAGGAAACGACCATACGATTACACAATAAGCATAAATATATGGAGTGACAGTACTCGACTCTGTTTGGGCTTACATAATTTTTGTCAACAATCAATGCTGCTTGCTGAAGTTGACCAACTTTGGATTTTAAGACAATGAGATTCTAGAAGATTGCCTCAAAAATTTTTATAAAGAAAAACCTAGATATCTACTTACTCAAAAAAATGACTAAACTTAATAGTTTAAACTAATGGTAAAAACTTTGTTTATTTTGAACATAGTTCATGTATAGGGTGATTGATGTGTATGAGGGAAAGCTCAAACACCAACATCAGCAAAAGAATACAATTAAATAGTCTGTACAGTAAATAATTTTTAAAATATAACTGACCTTATTGCTGAAAAATGGTTGAATAGCAATATCATGCCTTTCTCCACTCCCTCCACCATCAGCAGTACTTACAATGTCTTGCTTTCTTGAAGACCCATAGGCAAACGTAACCATTGCTGCACAGTTAGCCACTGTAATTTGTTTCAAAGATGGAAGCTTGAGCATGCTGCTTCCCTCATAGAAACTTTTCAGGTTAGAACAAGACTCCAAATTGATGGAATTTAGCTTAGGGAACACCCCATCAGCTCCATCTCCTATGATTACATGCTCCAGTGTGGCACAATTTGAGACTTTTAAATCTTGGAGGCTGACAAGGCCCAATGCCATGGAAGTGGTTGAAAGGTATCTCCAGTTACTATAATTAGAAACTTCCAAAGATTTAAGCTTTCTGAAAGGCAGGATTTCTCGAGGATTCCTGTTGTTCCAAATTTCAAGAATAGCCTGATCAAGAAGCTCGGACTCTGAGATTTTCAAATTTTCCAACCCATAGTATCCGACCTGCATGATCCAACAAATAACTAGTTAATTACGCAAAGAATCGAAGGACAATTGCAACAATGTTAATAACGGTAAGAAAGGGAGGAAAAAAAGGGGTCCTTCCACTCGATGAAAATAGATTGGACACACATGTGAAATATTTATTTATTTTTTTTCAAACTAGATTTCTTCCAAATCTACTACTGCATTAGAGTGTTTAAACTACATGGTCATGCACTTTGATAGTAACTTTAAATTTAATTAGTCACTTTCATATAAAAGTTGTAAATTTAGCCACTAAACATTCTTTTTGTTCATCATTATATTATGTTGATGATATGACACTTAATATGACAAAAAAATTTAGAAGTGGGCCCAAAATAGTTTTTCACTAAGTTTGAGTCAAATAAAATCCTTGGCTTTTTAAGAGTTAGGCAAACAATATTCAAAATCTTTTGCTCAGCAAATGATGCCTATGATATGACAACAGAAAAAAATGAGAATTTGAGGTCATTCTGTTACCCGTGCTTAGTTTCCGTTAACTGTTTCTGTTATGTTCTGCATTATCTCCCTAAAATAACCTAGTTAAGTTGGAAAACATGCAAATAACTACAAATTTGCATAAGCTCTGTCTTCATTAGAGCCATCAATACTCTGTAACCGTAAGGAAACTGAAGGTGAAAGCAAGAACCGTAGGTAGGATAAAGGTTTATGATTAAAAATAATATAATGAAGTTAATACAACTTTCCATCAATTTTTATTTACTTTAACAGCATAATCAAGGTGAAGTAAAGAAAACGTAAAAATAAGAAACAAAAAAACTAAAGGAAGTCTTTTGAATCAATACCTACCTTTTCCATAAACATCTGTTGTAGAGTGGTGTTAAGGTTACCTTCCCAGCGGCCTTCATCATTTTCTTCTATAAATTTTACTTTCTGCAGTTTTGGTGTGCTTAATTCTCCCTTAGAGAAAAGCTGCATATTTGGACATCCCATCACAATTATGTCTTCCAAAGATGGAAACTTGAAGTTGCAGTCCACTGAGCAAAAGGCTGCTAGTCTTGGTAGATGGCTCAGTTGCAGATACTTGAGTTGGCTGAAGACAATGCCATCCTTCCCTTCATCATCCATGCATGCCACAATTTCTTCTATCATATCACAATCACTTATACTCATTCTTGTGAGTTTCACCAAGCTTTTAGCTGCTAAATACCTTGCTAAATTTAAGAGTCCATGACATCTTGATACATTTAGAGTCTGCAGATTCTTCAAAGATATAATTGATGGCACGAAATTCATTAATTTGCTACATTCAAGTACTTCAAGAACTCTCAAGTTGTAGACAATGGTTTCAAAGTCAGGTTTAACCTTCCAGAGATGCATTAGCTCATTAAGATTAGATAACCTTAATTCCCTTAACTGAGTGAGTGCTCCTGCAGGTCTTCCCTCACCACCAGATCCTTCACATTGAAATATTTCATGAAAGGAAGCATAGCTCACAACAAGTTTCTCAAGACTGCAAGGGAGTGACTGGAAGAAGAAAGGAGGAACAACTGATTGCTCAGAAACGTGGACAAGTTTCAATTTTTTTAGTTTGGGAAAATAGTCCCCTGCATATTGTCCACGCCATATCTCCTTCAGACTGCCAATCTTTTCAAGTTTCAATTCTTCTAGATTGGAGAATGTAGCCTGAAAATTTGAAATATAATGTTTTTTTCTTAGTATGAAAAACGATAGGTGGGATTCAAAATGGTAACTGATGCAAATCCTCTGTTCATTATTTTATGCAAAATAGAGATTCAAAATTTCCTTTTGTCACTAGCACATTAGTAAAACATATTCTGCTTGACAAGTCATAAATACAACATAAAAAGGAGAATAATAAGCCACAAAAGTTGAAAAGTTGCATAGTTTTTACTTTTAAAAAGTAGAGAAATTTATGAATAATATACAATTATATTATTAATTTATGAGTTAAAAAAAAGAAACAACTTGTTTTTTGAATGACAAAAAAATGCCTTATATTATAAAGCACAAACTTTATCACACAAATAGACTAAATCAACCAGAAAGAAAGCAAGTTGCTAACAAAACTCCTTTAAAGACCAAAAAAAGAAAGCTTTTCCATCGTAAATAGACTGCAATTTTCAACACCAAAGACCAAAAACTCCTTTAAAGACCAAAAAATTAAAAAAAATAAAAAAAATAAAAAAACCAAAAACAACTTAATGAAATGAAAAAGTTAAGTTTTATTTTTCTTTTATAAAAAAGGGGAGCTTTCTTTAACAAATAAAGTGCATCATGGACAAATCACAGTCCAATCATATCCAGGACGCCACTAAAATAAGAGATTCACATGACAAATAGAGACAAGGATATCACCTTAAAGTAAATTTCAGTGGCAGCTATACAGCAATACCCATGCTCATTTATTTGAATATTTGAATAACTATTATAATGGAAGTTAGCAAATAATTTTAATTAATAATGTTTTTTTCTATAAACTTCCATATATAAATTGGGTAATTTGATTTTCTTAATCATTCAATCAAATGGAATTCCCTTTTTTTTGGAAAAAATAAGAATTACTATGTGGCTTATATGTTTTGTTTGATTTGAATATGTTCAGGCCAAAAAGCTTACTAGAAATATAGTGCACTCGCATACATACAAGGGATTTCTCCTTATTATTATAAAATATTTAGAGCTCGTACCTTGTTGATCCAGAAAAGAGGATGATGTCGAGTCTCAAGTTGGTGATCACAAGTTGTACTTTGGAAGCTTGGAAATTCTAAAGCAAATATCTCTAGCTGCTGGAATCCAACCGCCTCCAATTTCATCAGAGACGGACATTCAGTAATATGTTTTGAATGGCAGAAACCCTTGAGCTTGGGTAGCATTTGAAGCCCCAGTTCTATCAATTTTGGAAGTACCAACTTGGTTTCAGTTTCTACCAAATTTGGCTGACTGGCTATCAGAGCTTGTGAATAGCTAGCAATATGTCCTTGATGTTCAAATATTTCTTCTAGTGAATCACATCTCCTAATGAACAGTTTTTCTAGTCTCTGAAGTCTTGCCGGCATACTAAATGGGAAAATGCTCTGTAGTGTTTCACAGTCAGTTACATTAAGTAATTCTAGTTTGCAAAATGATTCTGCATCAAATTGGTTGTGCCATATCTTGTGCAAGCTCTGTATATGATTGATTTCTAGCGTCTTTAGCACAGGGACTGCCACCTAAAGAATTTATTGATAGCAGTAATAACTAATCAGTATAAGAAAGACAACAACTCAACTTTAGAATCGAATTAAAAAAGGAAAGGCTTTAAGAGGTGAAACTATAATAGTATTAATGGAAGACGGGGGAGAACAATAAGAAGAAATCACCTTTGCATCAAATAGAGGTGGTTTGGAGGTCTTTTCAGATTTCTCCGTACTGACTACTATGTCTCCAATAACAGGGCTGGAGGTGAACGCCTTCAACAGAGAACATTGACTTATTACAAGTCCTGTAAGGCAAGGGAATTTGATGTAATTTCCAGAACAGAATCTTGTGAGTTTGGGAAGGTCTTGAAGCATCAGGAGTTGCAAATCAGGAAAAAATATCTTCTGCATCCTTTCTTCTTTTGCAAATCCTTCTGTGATTATTACCCCTTCCATCATCTCACAATCACTAACAATGAGGCATTTAAGATTCTCTAAACTTTTAACCATGGAGGATGTAAATAGATATTTTAAACTACCACAGCCGTCCACAATGCACTCTATTAGATTTCGAACAAGAGAAGACATTTCTGGAACCCGATTGTGCCAAATTTGCTGAATGTTAATATTTCCAGACAGCCTTAAAGACTCCAGGTTGAAAGCCTCAAGCTGAAAGAAGATTCATCAATTTAATGAACAGCTTTTTCTTCTTTAACAAAAGGAAACAAAGAGGTCACAACCACAAGGCAAAATATGAAAAGGACATACGTGCGATTACACAACACAATGAGCCTAGCTATCCGGGTGACTGTACTCGACTCTGTTTAGGCTTGCATAATTTTTGTCAATGATCGATGGTGTTTGCTGTACTCGACTAACTTCGGATTTTAAGAGAAGCAAATTCCAAAAAATTGCCACAAAAATTTTTATAAGGAAAAACCTGGATATTTATTTACTCAAAAAAATTACCTAGGCTTGGTTTCTCTGTGCTTCTCACACGTTCTATTTACCCAACACATTTTTTTTTTTGAAACTGTAAATTTATAATTATTAATTAATTTTTATTTATTTATATTAATTTTAATTAATATTTTATATGTTTTTACAATAATAAAAAATAAAAAAAAAGATAATTGCAGTAAAGTACAATCTAACATAGTAAAAACAAACAAAGCTTTAATAGTTTAAACTAATTAACAATAAAATTTGTTTTTTTTAATATAGTTCATGGAGGGTTAATTAAATTTAATAAATAATTTATCAACAGGAGTTGGTGCTTGCCCATCTTACTTCCAAAAAATTAGGAGCAAAAATGATAAATATCACCTTAATGCATGCTTTAAAAATATGGTAGTTTAATTTTTTTTCATAAAAATTTATTTAAACGACGTAGTTTTAGGATGATTTTCCTCCTAATCTTTAGGAGATAAGGTTGACAGGTACTTTTTCCTATCAACTATTGACCTTTTATCTTCTTTTGTTTATTAACTATTTTTTTGTAACTAAACAATCTATTAATTTTTAAAATTCTATCAAGTTAGTTTAGACAATTAATGTTACCTGCACGGGATTAACGGAAATCCACAATGACAGCCACATAGATGTCACCTGACTAAATAATCAATGTTTGAAATATAAGCTTTTAATTAAGTTCCAGACAAAGTTTTATGTCCATCTAGTCTTAGGTTTTTTCCTCTTTTCTTTTTTTTTTTTTCAGTTCCAAATTTATTTTTTTATGAGAATCAATTTCAAATTTATTAATTTAATTCAATAAAAAATTATTAATTTAATTAGATTTGTTAAATCTCAAGTGAGATCAATTATAAAAAAATAATTTTTTTAACCTGTGTTTTAAAGTACAGATAAAAAAATAAAAATTAACATTCATTTTAATATCATTATCAAGTGAATAAATTTAATTAGATTATTAATAAATTAAAAATTAATTTTTATTTTTTTAACACAAATTTATAATAAAAAATATATTTCTTAAGGCATAAGTTAAAACACTTTTAAAAAAATAGTCCTTTTTAAGAAAAGCTTAAGAAAGACTAGATTATTAAAAAGATGAAATGTGACCCACCTTTTACCATCGGTTAGAGTTTAGTTGACTAAAAAATTAATTTTAATAATTGAAAGTTTATATTCTGTAATATTAATTCGTTGACCATGTGGCGCCCGATGTGGCAGCTTATTTGGGGCCACATAGGTGCCAATTTTTATTACCGTTAGTCCATAGACGGACCTCTAACGCACTAGACAAAAATGCTATAATTTTAAAAGTAAATAGACTAATTGGACATTAAA